AGCAAGTGGCTAAAAGAGGGGGATAGAAAATATTTTCATGCCATGGCAAATAGGAAGAGAAGGAAGAATTTTGTGTCAAAATTGATGATTGATGGAGTGAGCATTTTCCAACAACATGAGATTGCTCAGGATTTTGTGGACCATTTTAAATCTATTTTTAGAAAGCTTTTGGAGGATAGAATCTGGATTGATGGTTTGAATTGACCTAAGCTAGAGGAGTCGAAGTGGTGGCTGGAAAGAAGGTTTGATATTGATAAATTAAGGAGTTAGTCTTCTCTATGGAGAGAGCTAAAGCCCTAGGTCCCGATGGTTTTACTATGGCATTTTACCAAGATTGTTGGGAGATACTAAAAGATGACATTAAAATGGTCTTTTGGTGAATTTTTTGAGAGGGATGTGATAAATCCAGGCCTCAACTCAACTTTCATTGCTCTAATTCCTAAGTAAGAGGAGGCCTTGCACCCTAAAAGTTTCAAACCAATCAGTTTGGTAAATAGTCCGAACAAAATCATTGCTAAGGTGCTATCTTGAAGGATTAAGGCAGTGATTCCATCCCATAATTTCATAATCTCAAGGGGCTTTTGTTAAGGATAGGCAAATTATTGATCAAATTCTAATAGCCAATGAGAGTGGCGAGGATATGAAGAAGGCTAGAAAAAGAAAGTGTTTGTTTGTAAGCTGGACTTGGAAAAAGCGTATGACTTAGTTGATTGGGTCTTCTTGTTGGAGGTAATGGAAGGTTTTGACTTTGGCAATAGATGGTGCAAATGGATATTGGGGTTTGTCAAGAATTGTCATTATCTAATTTTGGTTAAAGGAACTGTGGTGGATCATTTCCCAGCCATTAGAGGAATTACACAAGGGAACCTCCTTTCTCCGTTTCTCTTCACTTTGATTGTAGATGTTTTTGGGTGACTCATAGAGAGGGCTGATTCTAGAAGTTTAGTAAAAGGGTTGGCAGGTGGTTAGAGAAGAGGTACTGATTACTACCTACAGTTTGCTAAAGATACTATCCTCTTTCGTGAAAGGGGTGATATTAGATGGGTGAGTATCTAAAGATGGTTGTGCTATTGTTTGAAAGAATGTCCAACCTGAAAATTAATTTTGAGAAGAGGTGCATAGTGGATTTGAATATGGAGGATAGGGAGATTACTGAAAATGCAGGAATCCTGGGCTGTTTTGTTTCTTAATGGCCTATGACTTATTTGGGGTTACCTTTGGGAGATAATCCAAGGAGTGGCAACTTTTGGAACCCCATGTTTGATCGTTTCACTAAGAGATTGGCCTCATGAAAGAGTAATATCTGTCCCTTAGGTGGTAGGCTCACTTTGATTAAGTCCACTCTTGAAAATTTGCCAATGTATTTTATGTCAGTCTTTAGGATTCCGGATGGGGTAAGTAGGGGGCTAGAGAAATTGATGAGGAAATTTTTATGGGAGAAAGGGGAGGAGAAGAAGGATCACAGAGTTAGGTGGAAGTGGTGTGTAAAAATAAGATGTATGGAGGATTAGGTCTTGGTAAGATATGGGAGTGGAACACTTGCTTGGAAAATGGTTGTGGAGGTTACCTCTTGATAGAGATAAGCTGTTGGTAAAGGTGATCATTACCATACTTGGGCTTGCAGCTAATGGATGGGACTCTGGAACTTCTGTTAGGGCTACAAGAGTTTCTTCTTGGAAGTCTATTTGCGATATCCTTCCTTCTTTCCTACTTCATATCAAACATAGTCTTAGGTCTGGAACTCTAGTAAAGTTTTGGGATCATGTTTGGGTGGGCAATTTACCATTAAAGACACATTTCTCCTCCCTCTATGCCATCTCCAATCGAAGGGTGGAAACCATTTCTTCTTTTTTTGGTTCCTTCTAGTTCTAGTACTGGTATTGACTGGGATTTGGGTTTCAAAAGGGGTCTACAGGAGAGTGAAATAACAAGTGTCATGAGATTTCTTAAAACCTTGAAGGGGTGTATTTGGATACTGCAAGAAGGAATAGGAGGATATGGACTATGTCCCCCTCTGGCTCCTTCACTTATGCTTCCTTTTTCTCTTCCCTTATTTAGCAGAGTGATAGTCAGGGCTTGTCCTTAGTGAAGGAGGTGTGGAGCAAACCTATTCCACATAGAGTGGGTGGCTTTTGCTAGGAAGTGTTCTTAGAGAGAATTAATACTTGTGAGTTAATGCAAAGAAAAGGACTCAATTGGTATCTTTCTCCTCATTGGTGCTCTCTTTGTAAGGTTAATGGTGAGAATTTCTTTTACTTATTAATATCCTGCACTTTTTCTTCTTCAATTTGGGTTTGGTTTCTTTTTTTTTTTTTTTGGGTGCAGGTGGAACCCTCAATCAAATGTACAAAGTCTGTTCGCCTCTACTTTTTGTTAGTTGGCCAAAGAAGAGGGGCAGAATCTTATGGAAGTGCACAAGAGATGCAGTTTACTAGACAATCTAGGAAGAGAGGAATCAAAGAATCTTTCTTGATAAAGAAAGAAGCAGGGATGCTATTGTTGAAGCCATTACTATCAGAGTAGTCCATTGGGTGAAGATACTGGATCTCTTCAAGGATATTTCTGCGGATGAACTAATGAGAAAATGGAGGGAGGTGGCTGGTTCTTCTCCTCTTATGGTGGTTATCAGGTCACTTTGGCCCCCTCCATCTTGAGGTTTCCTCAAGCTCAATTTTGATGGCAGCAGTGAAGGTAATCTGGGGCCATATGGTATTGGAGGAATCTTCAAAGATGAGGAAGAAAAGTCATTGTGATCTATTCAGGACCAATTGGAATAGGTGATTCATTGATGGATGAGATTATGGCTGTTGTGGAAGGTATCCAAAAGGCTAAATAGCTAAATATTATAAAGCTTCTCATTGAGGGTGATTCAAAGCTTGTGATTGAGTGGCTTCAAGGGGAGGAAGAGGTTGGATGGTGATACTATATCTTTGATAAAAGAAAAGCCATGAGTTTGCTTCAAGGGGTGGAGGTAAATTTCAAATGGGTGAGAAGCGATACCAATGCTTTCGCCAACACACTTGCTAAACAAGGGGTGGGAAGGGATAGTTTGTTTTGGGCTATGTTGTAATAGATTTTTCTGTTGGGTGGGGGGGGGGGGGGGGTGTAAAAGAGTTTATCTCTCCCCTTTTCTTTTCTTATACCCATTGTTCTCCTTAATTGATGAAATTATTTCTGTTATTGATTAAAAAAAGAAACTAAAGTTATAGACAAAATAATACATTGTGAAGTTTTCTTGTAAACTTGAAGAGTCAAAACTACAAGATAGAATGAATTCAAGCAAAATTTCAACGCATAGAAAATGCAAATGGTTCTAATAGATAAACCAAATAATTTGTTACACAAACAAAACTAATATTTAACTTCATGTTTGAAAAGAATATCAAGCTGTGGTAATCATGTCCATTATGTTTCAATAATATTGCTACTCTACATATCTACAATATTGTCACCAACTTGTGTTAAAATACTATCTTTTGCACTCCTCAGTGTCTGGTATTGTTCATTGGGAAATATGTAGGTTCCAGTAAAATTTTGTGTCGGTACCCATGGAAATGGAAATATGTCATGCAAATATTAGGAAATTTATGGACATTTTAAAACCATGATTTCAGTTACTGATCAAATAAAAAGTATAAAAAGAAGGAAACAATTGTCCTTTACTGGTGACAATTGTGTTCCTCCCATCGATCCATAAAACAAATAAAAAAGGAGAGTACAAAGGAAGGGCCATGCCACAATACAACACACTCCACCCTTCCCATCCCTTGCATAGGAGTTAGCTAACTTATTTGCTTTTCTTTGGGTCCAGTTAAATGTGGCATTCTGGCTAGGTGCCAAATAGTCTTTCTTAGTTAATCTTGTAAATCCATGGTCCTCTTTCCCCACTACTCAGCCATCCAGTAACAAATTGAGAATCCCCTCTACTTGTGTCAACACATCTAATACAATTACTCTTAAGCATGGTTCGCAATATCGGCGATATTTGTCAAAATTTCCCCAAAATATCCCCATTTTGCTAGGTAGCAATAGAAAATTTTTTGGGGATAGTTTTTTCCAAATATCTCCAATATTTTGCTATATGGCTGCTTTTTACATAGGCATCTTTCACAGTGACAGTTGGTCACATACCCATTGCTAGTGTTCCTTGCACATCTATGGATAAAGAGATCTTTGACTTTTTTTATGGGTGCTCCTTTGGAAATCCAGGCATCTCAGGAATTGGAGGAGTATTAAGAAAATCTGACAGGAGGATGTTGGGTATGTTCTGAGGACCGGTTGGCAATGGAAACTCAAAGGCTGAATTATTGGCATTACTACAAGGGTTAAAGCTAGCCAAACAACTAGGATGCAGACATGTTGAAGTGGAAGGGGACTCAAAAGTAGTAATATCATGGGCAACAAATAGCAGCCATACCCCATGGACATTTAAACATGTGATAGGGAAGTGGAGAAGATTGCAGAGGTTGATGCTGAATTTAAATGGGTCTGAAGAAGTGCAAATGGGCTAGCTGATGGATTAGCAAAACAGGGGGCATTGTGACAACAACTATTTTGGGCTGCACTATAATGAGGGGTAGAATAGAATGATTAAAGGGGATCAACAGTCCCATCACCAAGTTGTATAAATTGCTTATAATCTGAATTTAATAAAATACATTTTACTGATAAAAAAAAGAGATCTTTGACTTTTTATTGTACTTCAAAATTTTCCCTTTTTATAAGATGATAGATCTCTTTACCTCCCTGTTGTGTTGGTTCTAAATATGATTATATTGTGTATTAGAATATTATTAAACCACTATTTATGTTACAGTCCAAGGCCAAGAATTGTTTTTCAAATTATTAAATCACCTTCCATCTTATCTGAGGTTGAAGATCACTGAATGTTAGAACCTTTTGTCACTGAATGCATTTAAGGTGTAGGGTGGGGGTCTTATGTTTTTTGTATAATTGTACTTTGTTCTTTGTTCATGCACTGATAAGCATCTATGTTGCAGTGAGGTTTTTGCAAATTCACCTTTCTTTATTTCAGCACAGGATGCCGGTTCTGCAGAAGCAAGGTAAGCTTCTATTTACCAAGATTGATGCATGCTTGAATGTATGTGTCTGTGTATGTAGGTATCTATGTATATATGCAAGTATGCATGCATTCGTGCATTGTTCTTTGTCTTTCTCCGCACTTAGTCTTGAACATTGATTATACCAGATTCATGGGTGATACCATTGGTTTTCAAGTTGATGTTACTTGTATGCAGGAGATCCGATGACTACAAGGAGACCATAATTCCTGCTGGGAAAACCTATGAGGTTTGTGTAGTAAGAATTTAATCTATTAATATGATGATGGTTCTTCTTTGATCTACCTGCCAAAACTGATGATGTGGCCAGATTCTCCATATCTCCTATTATTCTCCAAATATTCCCTTGCAATTTCTGAGATATTATCTTTCCAAGCTTGTAGAAGATTTGTTATCACTATTCTATTTCATTCTCAGAATATTTTATTTGATTTTGAGAATATTTAATTTTATTCTGAGAATAGAGAATATGGAAAGAAATATAATGAAATTAGCAAGAGATATGGCACTTTGAACTCTTGACAGGTGGCTGCACCATTTCTACTATAATTTTCCACATCCCACGTGTCATAGTGAGACATGCCTCATTTGTGGCTGCTATGAAGCTTCATAGGATGAGTTCTAACACTCTTCTTTTGGGCTTTCCGGGATTGAACTTTGTTGAGAATGTAAGGGCATTTATGTCCTTTAATCCTTTTTGTATTTGGGCGCCTATTCAAGGGCCCATTTGTAATTTTCTACAAATTTTAAGAAAGCCTCTTCAGGGTGTGAACAATAACACACCTGAGTTCTTCGACAAACCTTTCTTCTTCCTTCTTCTCAACTACTTTAACTTGGTATCAGAGCATTGGAAGATCAAGGAGACCATCTGTCGCTGGTCATGACTCATAGACGAACCTGCTGACGTCAGCATGCCACCAATTGACGTCAGCAACCCGTATAGTCAGCGGCATTCATTTGCGGTTTTGATACCCCTTGATGTGCCTCATTTTTAGAGGAATTTTTATATACATTTCATGGAGTTTTGAAGCTCTTTTACATTTTTCTTGAATTTTGTAGATGAAAATTGGCAAAATTTACAGATTTGGAGTTTAGGGCTTGCATGCTCGCATGGTGGGCTGGATTCTGTTAAACCCACTTGTGTTTGAAGTGTCGTAAATTTATGAGATTATAGGAAGCAGTCTCAGATTTTTTGGAGCCTTAAACCTTTTTTTGGGAATTTTTTTCTTCCCCTTTTTTGCCACCAGCACCTTCTTTTCTTTTGTTTATTGTTGTAGCGTGTGTTTAACCTTCAAGGAAAGGTGTTTGGGTGTTCAGATAGTGTTGGTGAGAAAAGTGTTTTTAGAGGGGTGGTGATCCATGGACTCACACAAGGATGTCTACATACCTACTTATGTCCTCCCTGGAAGTTATGACAGTGCTAGAGGGCAAATTACTACTGTAAAACTTGATGGAACAAATTTTCTTGAATGGTCTCATTCAGCTAAGCTCACAATCGAAGGAAGAGGTAAGCTTGGGTTTCTTACCGGTAAGGAAGCTAAGCCGAAGCCTGAAGATCCAAATTATTCCAAATGGGAGTAGGATAATTTGCTGGTTATGTCATGGCTGGTATGCTCTATGCAGCCTCACATTGCCTGCAACTATATGTTCCTTCCAACAACTAAGGACATTGGGATAGGTTAACTTCAACTTATTCTCAAGCGAAGAACACAGCTAGAATCTATCAGTTGCAAAGAGAAGCATATAATATGCCACAAGGGGAGAAATCGATAGCCATGTATTTCTCTTCCTTACAATCAGTTTGGGAAGAAATGGATCATTTAGAAGCTTTGGAGTGGAAGGATCCTATTGATGTTGAACAATACAAGAAGTGCATTGAGAAAAACCAAGTCTTTGATTTTCTTGTTGGACTGAATGCCGATTATGATTTCACCGGGCAACACATCCTTAGTGCTGATATTTTGTCACTCTCTACAGCATATTCTCTGGTGCAGAATGAAGAGAGTAGGAGGATTGCCATGATGCAAGTTCCTGTCAGGGAGCACACAGCTCTTGTGTCTACAAAACCCAAACACAGTTCTGGTAAACCTGAATATGTAGTTTGTGAATATTGCAAAAAGCCAAGGCACACCAAGGATAGGTGTTAGAAACTAAATCCCCACCTAAAGCCTAAGAAGTTAAAACTGGAAAGAAGGTAAATGCTCATGTTGCTATAGCTAGTCATGATTCTCAGACTCACATGCTTAAGGGAAATTCTTCTGCTCAGGCATCTACTCATGACACCTCTGATGTGATGGAAAAATTGAGAGGCATCTTGCTCCATCTTGAAAAGAGTGGGTTGCCTACATCTGCTGGTTCACATACACCTTTTAGTGCCTTTGCAAAATCAGGTACTGCATTTGCGTATCATGCCTCATCCTCTGGCTCTTGGATAATTGACACAGGAGCCAGTGATCATATGACTAGTATGCCTTCCTACTTTACCACGTATAAACTTTTTTCAAGGAAAGGTAAGATTACTGTTGCTGATGGATCTCAAACCCCAATCTCGGGTTTGGGTGAAGTTAAACTTACCAACAACCTTTCTCTGAAACCAGTTCTCCATGTCCCACAACTGCATAGAAATCTCTTACTTGTTAGCTCTCTTACAGAGTCTCATAATTGTTCTGTAACATTCTTTCCATCTTATTGTGTCTTCTAGGATCTAAGTACGAGGAAGATGATTGGTAGTGAACATGAAGCCGATGGAGTTTATCTTCTTGATCAGTCTCCAAAGTTTGGGTTAATGTGTCAGTTTGAGTCCTGTCATGATGAAAAACTAAGTCAATTGAAATTGTGGCATCACCATCTTGGGCATGTGTCTTTTGGTTCATTGAAGTTTTTGTTTCCTAGTCTGTTTGAGTCCTTGTCTAGTTCTGGTCTACAATGTGAAGTCTGACAACTATCAAAGCAATGTAGAACCACATATTTTGCAACAAGAGAAGTAATGTTGCTTTCCATTTAATACATACCGATGTTTAGGAACCTTATTCTATTCCGTGTATGGGAGGTTATAAATATTTTATTCTCTTTGTTGATGACTACGCGTGGTATACCTAGTTGTATTTGATGAAGAGTCAAGATGAAGTTCCTTCAATTATAAAAGGCTTTTTTAATATGGTGGAGAAACAATTTGAAAAGAAGATTTAAGATTATTAGATCTGACAATGTCAAGGAATACTTTGAGAAGCACTTACAAACTTTCCTTGAAGAGAAAGGAGTAATTCACCAAAGTTCATGTCCTCATACCCCCCAACAAAATGGGGTATCAGAGAGGAAAAACAGACATGTTGTTGAAGTTGCCAGGGGATTGTTATTCCAGGTGCATGTCCCAACTCGATTTTGGGGGGATGTTGTACAAATAGTTGTATATCTTATTAACAAACTTCCTTCACGGACCCTTCATCTCCAGTCTCCTCATCAACTTCTTTTTCCTGAGGAGGATACCTTCCATCTTCCTCCTGAGGTCTTTGGGTGCATTTGTTTCGGCCATGACATGAGTCCTTCTAGGTTGAAATTTGATCCAAAGTCTATTAAGTGTGTCTTCTTGGGATATTCTTTAGTCCAAAAAGGGTACCATTGTTATGTGTCCAAAGATGTTACATTCTTTGATTCTACTCCCTTATTTTCCTCTTCTCGTCCTTCTCTTCAGGGGGGAATGCTAGCGAATATCAGACTCCTTTTTATATGTCGATTTCTGCTCTAGCTGTAACTGGTATTGTCGATCCTTCTCCTCCTCTTCCCCCTTGTGGTGGTAGTAATACTCCTCCTGTGCCTCCTCCTATTCCTCAGTCTTGGCACCAGTGGTTCGTTAGACGGAAAAAGAGGATGACTCCAGAGATTGAATGTCCATTACAATCTAAATTCCTGGACTCAGGTAATCTGGATTCTAAACCTCTTTTTGTTTATGATACTTGCGGTGAACCCGTTACTAAGCCTCCTATTGTGGTTTTCGACCTTAACCTTCCTATTGCGGTTCGTAAAGCAAAAAGGACATGTGTTAAATATCCTGTCTCAATTTATGTCTCTTATAATACCTTATCTCCCTCTTATTGTGCCTATATCTCTTCCATTGCTTCTGTTTTTATTCCTCATAGTGTTTCTGAGGCAGTGCAGTTCCCTCATTGGAAGGATGCTATGAACTAGGAAATGGAGGCGCTTGAGAAAAATCAAACATGGGAAATAGTTTCTCTTCCAGTGGGCAAAGTTCTTGTTGGATGTAAGTGGGATTACACAATGAAGCATAAAGCTGATGGCTCAATTAAAAGGTATAAAGCTCGACTTGTGTCCAAAGGGTACACTCAATCATACAGCATTGATTATCAGGAAACCTTTGCTCCAGTAGCCAAGACGAACTCAATTCAAGTTATCATATCTCTTGCTGCCCATTATTCTTGGCCCTTGTATCAAATGGATGTTAAGAATGCCTTCCTTAATGGTAACCTTCAAGAAGTTTACATGGAACTTCCTCCTGGAATGAACATCCCTGGGAGTGAAGGAAAAGTTTGTCGTTTGAAGAAATCTCTTTATGGCCTTAAACAGTCCCCTAGAGCTTGGTTTGACAGATTCAGAAAAGCTATCATAAAAATTGGTTTTTCTCAATCTCAAGCTGACCATACCTTGTTTATCAGGAGAGCGAATAGAAAAGTGACTATGTTGATAGTATATGTTGATGACATTGTTATCACAGAGGATGATATCTCTGGAATTGTTGAACTAAAATCTTTTTCTTGCTACTGAATTTGAAATTAAAGATCTTGGAAATCCTCGGTATTTCCTAGGGATTGAGGTCACAAGGTCAAAGAGGGGCATTTATATTTCTCAGAGGAAATATGTCCTTGATCTGCTTCAGGAAGTAGGGAAATTGGATTGTAAACCAGCTGAAACTCCAATTGATCCCAATCATAAGTTGGGAATTGATGATGGAGGTATCCTTCCTGACAAAGCTGTGTATGAAAGACTTGTCGGTCGCCTTCTCTACTTGTGTTTGACTAGACCAAATATATAATAGGTTGTGTGTGTGGTTAGTCAATATATGCACTAACCTAGATCATCTCATATGCAAGCCGTGAATAGAATACTAGCCTATTTAAAAGGATGTCCAGGAAAAGGGATGTATTCTAATCATGGGCATCTCAAGGCTGAGGCTTATTATGATGCTGACTAGGCAGGTTCTATTGATGATAGGTG